TAATAATAACAACATATATATATATATTATATATATATATATGTGTGTATATTTCTATATATTACAGTTGCTCAATTCGTTATACTTTCGTTTGCTTGCCTTTAAAATGAAACATTGTTTTTGGCATGGGAAAAGAGCTCTTTTTTTTTGATTATCAAATGCCTTCGATACGTTTTAAACGCGCAAAATAATGAAAAAGAAATAATAATAAAAAAAAAACTACGTTATGTGAGAATACAAGTGACACTTGTGCTCATTTGTTTCGACTTTGATTAAGAATTTATACAGAAAATAAAAAAATAAAAAATAAATGCTTGATAAATTTTTGAAATAATTGAAAAAAAAAAAAGAAATAAAATAACGACACGAGGGGGGAAGGCATAAAGTTGTTTTTTTCTTTTTTTTTCTTTCTTTCTTTCTTACAACTGTACCCTATTTATTTTGATACTATGATAAACTTTTAGTACTATTATATGTGCTGCGCTGTTTTGCTTCTATCAGAGTATCTGGAAATTCAAATATGCAATGAATGCAAAAGATCCGAACACAACTGTTGTTTTTTTTTTTACAAGCTCTAAAAATTTGTTTTTCACAATATATCAAAGACACGTGGTCAATATTATTATTATTCCTATATCACTTTGAGTATGTTGCTCTCTCTCTTTTTTTAAAAGTGATTCTCATGTGATTGTGCTAGATTTATATATAATTAATAAAGTTATTCTCAATAAATCCTATTTTAAATTACTTAATATATATAATGTTGTCTTTCTTATTATTTTTTTTCTTTTTAATGTTTTTTTTTTTATATCAAGTACGCGCTTTTCCTTTTATTTGATTTTAAACAATTATAACATAAAGACGATACGATACACTGTCAAACAGAAGACAAATACATCTTCTTCAATACGTGCTCTAGTGATACTGTGCAACAGGAATTTTTAAAAATTTACTCCTTTCTTTTTTATTGTTGCATTATTCCATTAAGAATTCTTTTTTTTAAATCACACACGCCTAAAAAGATCTACGAGTTTGAAATTGTACAATCGGAATTATATAAATTTTATTTTGTTTACGTTGAATTTCATCTTTTTTGTACGTTTTCTCGTTTTATTTTAATTTAATTTAATTTTATTAGTATGTATTCTTTTTTGTTTAATTATTATTTTATATTTCTTTCTTTTCTACATTTTTTTTTTGTAAAAATCGTATCTTATAACTAATCATTGAATTACAATAAATCACAGTTAATTTTTTTATGCCGTAAAGGAATTATTGAAAATTCCTATTACTCAGATGCGACAAGTTGCACCATTGACAAAGTGATGTTTTTGCTTTTCTTGTCTTGACTAGTGTATACTATTATAAAGCTTATAACCACTTGATCTACAATGTGCGCAAATAATTGAAGATATTTCATTATTGCACACATGATAATACATTTCAATGACCCTTCGGAATAATAGCTTTCGAAATATGTCACATATAGCGACTCTGTAACTATATACAACTCAAAAATTATTCTGTTAATAAAATTAAATTAATATTCTCTATCGAAAGACGAAAAACGAATCTTATTAAAATATTTTAGCAAAATTTATCCAATAAGTATATAATAATTTTAAAATATAT